CCCCCCCCCCCCGTGGTCCTGTGGTCTGGGTTTGGTGGGTTATTTGAGAGGCTTAAATTTAATAGCAGGTGTTTAGAGGTTTCAAGAGATTTCCAGAAGGGGTGTCTAGAGGGCTTCTGAAGGTTGGATAGAAGTTTATACAGATCTTAGAGAGATAGACTGTTTGTTTTTACAATTTTTTGTAGAAGTCTTCACAGAAGGATTACAGGGTGGTTTTCACTTTTATAGACAAAGTTTTCTGGAGGATTCTTAAAGGCTTTATGAAGATTTCACATAGTCCTTAGCGGAAGCTTCTCAATGTACTCCCCCCCTGTGGTCCTGTGGTCTGGGTCTTGTGGTGGGATTTCTAGAGGTTTGGAAAGAAGATTTTTGGAGAGGTTTTACGGGGAGTTCATGCTTCTGGGAGGTTATAGACATAAATATGGCTTATTTCCAGATTGGTGGCTGAAAGGGGAGCGAGGGGAGCTGAGAACGCGGAGCGCGGACGCATAAGCCCCCTTTAAGGCTCAAATGTCGTGGGTGCAACGGCAAGCTACCACAATCCAACAGCATCCACTGCTCAATTTCAAATTCCTTCAATACCCTTTCTATCTTCAAAGTGTTGCTAACAATCCCGGAGCAGTTTTCTTCTGGATTCTGCCTGGGTGTCTACTAGACTAGTAGAAACGCCGGTTTTATCTGAAACCTGGCTCATGCTTCTGGGTTCCCATACTTGCAATGCATTTCGAAGAAATGCACAAGAGTAGACGCCCATGAGGACTTGCAGATGAGTCTCTCAGTTTCTTGCCGCTGAGGACCTCAGTCAGCTCCGACTACGGACCCCAAACCCAAACCTCCAAATTCTGGAGCGCTACAAAGGGGATTTAGGAAAGCATTGGCATGGATTTCTACAAGAACCACCCTCCTGCTATCTGAAGGACAACAGTCGATATAGCCAAAAAACAGGCGTAGCAGCCGATCAACAACAAAAGAAAAAGACGCCGGGGGCCAGACCAAGCATGGCTAGCTTAGCTTTCATGTGCTGTTCGTGGTTTCCATGGCTGTGGGGACGGCTAAGCAGACTTGCCTGACATGTTTCTTCCACTTGTTGCTGCCCTTTGTCACTATTGTTGCTACCGATGGTCTCTTGCAGTTAAAGCCACAGCTACTACAGCATCACGAGTCACTACAGCTCTAACTTTTTGATCCTTAAGTGTTGACCCCAAAAAGCCGCAAACACGTTGAAGGTCAAGGGACAGTCTTGAGCCCCCGGACTTGCCGATGCAAGCTGAGGCTTCCGGGCATTACCCGGTTGACTACCTGAGCGGGCTTAGGACCAATTTTGACACTTATGGGACGCGTATAGAAGAGATGGAGCTCATCAGTTAAAGGGGTGCACAAGAAATCTGTACGGACTGCATGTTTTCTGAAAATCATGGGCCTTGTCTTGGGTGATCTCCTTACAAAGGCTCAGTGCTTTCAAAATTCAATAGAGGCTGTTGATGATGGGAAGGCGTGAACAGCGCGTGGGGCATTATGGAAATTCACGCAAGTTTTGGAAGCATGCGGACAGCTTCCGAAAAAATGCTCTGCCTCTTCATCCGGATAAAAAAACTCTGGCTCAAGGGCTCAGGACTGTTGGGACCACACCCATCTTGACCTGCATTTTAACCACGAGCCTTTCTGCAAAACTTCAGCCATGAGGCTGAGCGCTTGTGCCCTGAACTGAGTGTCGGGCTGCAGCACTCCTTGCTACTGGGGCAAGTTCTGTGCGCTGAAGAACTATCTGCTGTACTTTCAGCTACCTTTTCTGAACCAACCCAGGAAACTATAAGCCTCAACCGCCCATCCTTGAACTCGAACTCGAACCTCATCCGTGCTCAGCGCGTCAGGATCTAGAAAAGTAGAGCCGCGGATAGGTTCCCCCATGCTACCGTTTGGAATTCCAGAACTTGAGGCGACCCACTTTCTAGATCCTCCTAAGCCCTAAGTTGTACAATCTCAACCTTAAACCCTCAACCCAAAACCTAAGCCAGAACCCTCAAACCTAGTAGTTTGAGCGAGCTGCTAGGATTGGGCAAGTCGACTTCACCAGTTTTGGCAGCGAAGCGAAAGGCTGCACTTGAAGCGAAGTTCCTGGGTTTAGGGAGCAGTAGTAGAGGCATGCGATGTATAGGGAACCGGTCTATGGTGGTGTCTAATATGTATGTATGCATGTCTGTATTGATGTAGGTTTGGGCGTGTTTGCTCTTCTTGCTTGGTATTGCAGAGGGTAGGTGGATAGGTGTTTGTGCGTTTTTAGGGGCTGGGGGATCATAGAAGACCTTCTTGCCTCATCCTGGACGTCAAGGTCCGGTTTCTGGGGATGGAGGGTTCAAGACTGTAAGTCTCGAGAACCTACAGCTTCCTCTGCTGCCTACAGGAACGCATATGATGCGAATTGCTTGGCTTCAGACACTGACTCGCTTCTGCATTGCGATTCTCAGGCCGCGGAGATGAGACGGCATTGGGCACGCTTCTTCTTTGCAACTGCTGGTCAACAATCACTTGCCCACAACAGCGCCAGATGCATCCCAGGATGCTGTCTACATTACCAGATAACATATCGTAACGGACGAGGCATGTTGAATGCATTATTGGCTTCGCAGAAAGTGTCCTTGCACACTTCTTTCAAAGCGGCCGTTGACGTGTCTGCGCACCGCTACCAGCATGACCCATTTTGAGGGCCGACAGACTCTTCGGAGTGACCAATTTATCCACACCCCATATCCACTGAATGTTCATCTCAATCTCGCCGGAAAACGACGGCTTCAAAAGCAAATGCGTTCCAGAATGCCGGAGACAGACCCGCAATACGGAACCAATATATATCTGAAACTTCTTGACGAGCACTCTGAATCCCTAAGCCTTTTAACTCTAAGTGCCCTGGAACGGTGGTAGAAATTATCATTTCAGCTGGTTCGTAATAAGCAACAGAGATCAACGACTATTTTCTAGGGAAGACCCTAAACCCTAAACTGCCCTACGCCCTAGGCCCTCAAGTCTTAGCTGAGGGCACGACAAACGCCACGCACAGCCCGAAGCTGCCCGTTTCGGTCTACCACTCTCAGACCCACTCTACCGTTTCCAGGACCAATTCCAGGATGTTCCAAGCGATTTTGGCTTTTTCCGGGCCATATGTGCCAATTCTACATCTAGACCAAGTCTAACGTTTCCCAGATTTGTTTGTGGCTGCTCCGATTGATCTGGCACTTCGATCTTTCCGCTTCCAAGCCAATCCTGGCGTCTCTCAGACGATTCTAGCAGCCGCTCTCAGAGCAATTCTGCGCAGCGCTGTGCCCAGGCGCCCGCGGAAGTAACCCGATAACAGCCTCACAGAAAAAGAACCTCTAAGCCTCCAAGTACATCAAGTCATGCCCGGTCCCCGAATGGATGGCGGACCCCGCGGTGCTGCCTTGGCCCCCGCCGGATTGCCCATAAGAATTAAGGAACTTTTAACACTAAATTGCTTGAACTTAGGGTGGTCATGGGGTGGGCTGACTGCTACAGACCGGTACGAGGGGTCTGTGTGTCACGGCATGTCCCAACACCGGCGGGCACTCATGTCGTGGCCACACCCTAAACCTAATACTCTCGCCCCTAAACCCCTAAACCCCGTACATCTCTGCTCAGGCTCCCATGATGATCAGGAGATCCGCGGCCTTGAAGTCCTCTCTTACTTATATAGGGGTCCTATTGTAGGGGGATGCTAGGAGATTAGACTATAGATCATGTGGAAAAGGCCTTGCTACACAGAGGTAAGCTTAACAGGTGCGTCTCAATCGTTAATTTTCACCCTCAAGGAAAGATCCATCTTGTAGCTATATGGAGCTTTCTAAACTCAAGGGGCCCTGTTGTGAAGTCCCTGTTGTGAGGTTAATATTATCTATGGCCTCTATATGTATATGGGGCCCTATCTCTGGTAATCTATCCTATACTCCAACAAGAGGAAAGGATCTCGAGCGTTGATGGCGGAGTACCCGAGCCAGCAACGCCCCTTGTTCAAGGAATATGGCTGTAATCAAATTTGAACGTCAATATGTAGGCCTGAACTGCTGGTTTTGGGCTTCTGGGCACATGGTACAGTGGCCTGCATTGATGCTCTCATGAAGCACGGTCTGAGGTTGGGTATGTATCTACGACGCAGATATGCCAAAAAAAATGGCAGATTGGGTGAACAAATCGTTCAGCGCAATGTACACCACCTTTTTCCGATCCGATAGCATTGCAACAAACTCAAAACTAAACCGCCTTGTAGGTTTTCATGTGTGTTACGTTGGGCTACGCAATCCCGACCTCACAGCGCATTTTGCATCCTTGACGCTCCATTTTTTTAGCTCGAAGGTCTCGGAACTTGATGACCTCACAATGCGCGCCTGGACCTTGCATCTAATTGAAACTGTTCCATGGCAATGGCCAACGTCATTTTTCACCTCCGGCGTTGATAGGATCAGCCTTTCCCAACCTGAATGTTATCCTTGCAGCGCAAGGGGAACATGAGATGCGGCCGTCATGGTGGTAGGCGCATGCAAGGGTGGTCTGGCTCGCCAAAACAGTTCTGCAATGTTTAATGTTCTGAAGACAAACGCCAAGCACGAGCGGGGGCCTTCCTGAATCACTCAGCTTCAGCCAGCTTTGAACAAGGGTTTGCATGCTGAACCTGAGAAACAAGGTGCCAGGATAGCAACGTGAGAATATGGCTTTCCTTGTGTGCAAGTATGGTGGGGTTTTACATCTGGGCTGGAGCCCTGCAAGTCGCACGGCTGTCGAGATGTATTCCGGGCTGTCTTGACTTGCAAGGCTGGCAACGTGAGCGATTAGGAATATAGCATCCCCTTGACTTCTACATGACCCCGCAACAGACTCCGCAGCTCCTCGCGGGACTTCTCCTGAAATTTATCAGGCAGCGCCTCGCCGAAGAGAACGATGTCAGGGCGAGTCAAGCCGGAACATCTCTCACCTGGGGTCAAGGCACTTTGACCTAGGGTCACATTTTGCAGCACTTGAAAATATTGGGACTATAGGGACAATGGAAAAGAAAATGGAAACTCCTATAATATATATAGGGATATATAGGGGTTATGTAGGGATAATGGAAAAGAAAATGGAAGCGGTACTACCACTCTGAAAAGTACTCCTGTCATTGCTCATGGTATCGTCAGGGGCAGGATTGCAAACGGAATGGTTCTTGAGCATATGGCAGCTATGTCCCGCAAAGCATTCAGTCAAGAAACCAGTCGACAACATCATTGTCATCCTCATTACTTATCCTCCTACTTAACATCATCGTTTTTATCTCGTCATAACCACCATGACCCTCATCTTCGTAGTGGTCATCAGGGCTTCGAGGATGTTCATCATTGACACTTATGGCTCATAGAGGCTTCTGCCTCTGGTGTTGGAGGCGGCCTGAAGGCTTTAGGGCAGAGCTTCTTGTTTCCGAAAACGGTTTACATGCTGGGACTCCTTCAAGCATTGTTTCTAAAATGCATAGCACAAACATTGAGAAACATGACTATGGTCGGCCTGTGAAAGCCTGCGTGCAAAAATCAAGCAAGAACCCAGTCACATCTGGGCACGCCGTTCGTCCGGTCCCAGTCAAAGTAGTGATCTTTCGAGTATGCCTGCAGGGAGGCGGGAAGCCTGGGGGGCGGGGGGCGAGGGGGGGGGGTTGGGGGGGAGGGACGGTGGGTAGGTAAAGTTGGATAATATAGGGTAATATAAGGTTATATAGGGAACATGGAAAAGAAAATGGAAACTGCTGTAAGCGATATTGGGGGACACCAAAAACTGACTCTTCAAACCAGTGCCTGGCACTCCTCTACACTGGCTGGCTGCTTGCTGAGGGGTAACCGCCCAACCCTGGGTTTCAGGGGTTGGGGAATAGAAGCTACACTGAACTTTCCATCCTCAAACTTCTGCATGATGCTAGCAGCCTCTCCAAGGAAAGATCTCCCGAAGCCAAGCTGTCCTACATGCAAAGTTCAAAGCCTGCGGAGTCCCAATAATCAGTATTATTACTATTTGTAATCTATTGTTACTATTGCTATTGGGCTTTTATTACTGATTCAAGACCACTCTTTCCAAGGCCCTGCCAAAGTTCCAAAGGCGACGATTCTAGCGGTTTTCTGCTTGCCCTTCCTGGACTCGAACTTACCACGGAATTCCCAGACTTCTTGAGTTCCAGTGGTTTTGACATCGCGACTTCTTAGTGAAGGCACAGACATACCCCTCAATATCTAAAGCATATAAGCTATAGGCAAACCTCCCGCTAGATTTCCACAGAAGCCCTACGCTCTCAAGTACTTCTGTTGATGTTCAAGTGTTACAGTGATCTACTTGGGTACTGTCAAGGCAAGACTGGCGATCGAGAGACAGTTGCTCCTGTTAAGGCTGCTAAGATGGTGGGTACCCCAAGAAAGCAAAACACCCCGCATGTTAGCAAGACAGCTTATTTTCTACCAGGCTTCCGGGCAAGGGGCAACTGAAACGATGCTTTCAAAACCGAACCCAAGCCTTTTAACAACAACCCCTGCCCTCCTCTGCCAACTCAACCCCCCCTTTCCTGCTGGCATTCGTGACACTTGGACGTGGCGGTCGTCCCGTGGCACTCGATAAGCAGTTCCTCACGGATGCCTGCCTTTCGCTCGAGACTATCAATATTCCTTAGCTGCACCCAAGCGGCCGTCTTTTGCTATGGTTCTTACTGACAACATTCTGCACAGTTCCTTCTGTAGAACTGTTCAGCAAGCACAAACTTCCGATGATGGCTGTCCGGCTTGTATCGTTGAGGTGATTGCTTCCCCTTCGCTCACGGGCTTCACAGACATTGACGCCCAAACCCGCTAGGCCGGCTAGGCCTGAGCCAACTCTATGTTCACCCATGCCAAGCCTACTGACTTTGCAGAACCCACCTTCGCCTTTACGAAGATGGTAGCTATGACAGTCCTCTCATTACAGCCTGAACCAGGGGATGTAAGCCTCTCCGTGCAGAGCGAGGCTCTGCGTATAGAGGCGCCGTAATAGACCCTTATCCTTCAGTTCTGTTTCGGGCTTTAACTATCTTTTATGATCTGCAGCGTTTTAGCATCCGGGTGGAGGGGTTCGGATTTCGGCGTAGCCTCTCAAAGTCTTCATGGCTTGTAGGAGTCCTGCTTTTCAGGGGCCTCAGAAGCAACTGGAAGATCTTTCCTTGAAGCTCCTACGGCCGCCAGCTCAGAAGTTACTTATCGAGCGTTGCAACTACGAGCTTTAGATATAGTTTAACTCATGCTTGCGTAGCCGTGCTCATGCAAGCGCTCCTGGGGAATCGGCGACACGTTGGAACACACAAAGTGACTTTCAAACTACTCAAAAGTCCATGTCCTGCAAATCTTGGAGCTCCTAGTCTTGTTTTCGTTCACTCAATGCCTGCAACGAGCAAGGGAGCGTTCTGGAGTGGCCTCTGGAGGAAAAGCTGAGACAGGCATGTCTTGACTTCTAGGGTCTGCATAGGGGGGCCGTTCTATAACAGAACCCTAAACCCCAAAATGGACCACGATTTTGACAACTTACCACCTACTGTGTCGGCCTGTCAAAGTTGTGTAGGTGAGCCCTAGAAAATAAGGGAATACAATTCCTAACAACCAATAAGTTAAAATAACCCCAGGCGCCACTGGAAGCCTCTGCATCTGTCCCTGAAACCTGAAGCTTTGAGACCAAAACGCTGGACCCTAACTTACCCTACTGGTGCTGAAGGGGGAGTGGGGGAGTGAATATAGGTACCATTTTAGCGTTACCTATGGGGTTATATAGGGATTACCATAAAAGGATCCACTCCCACACTCTCCCTTGAGCACCTGTAAGTTACCGGTTGAAAGTAGGGAACGGAATGGATACTCATTCCCTACAGTAGTTCCTATGAAGTCACCCAACGTTGCCATTTTCTTTCCCTTCCCTTGCCTGGAGGAGCCGAAGGAAGAAGTGGGTAAGGGTTGGCATCACATGATCGACCCGGAGCTTCTGCATGACCTCGAAGAACAGCTCCGGGTTGGACTTCAGGAAGTCCTTGGATGATAAAATAGAATCACGCACGCTGCGGAAATAGGTGTATCATTAGCTTAAGAGCTACCAAATTCTAGTTCATACAAACCCCGTCGACAAGAAGCGAAGATGCGCTCAGGACATTGAGGCCAAGGTTTACATGTAGGTTTGGTGCCTCGAGAAGGCAGTTTTGAGTCTAAGTTTGGACCTGACGGACCTGCAGGACGGTGGGCAAAACTGGCAGTGCTCTCTTGGTTTGGCGGAACCTAGTCCAAGATTTGCTTGAGGCGGGCACCCGAAGACAAGAACACAATGAATCGCTAGCTTGCTCTCAACAGAAACCTTCCGCGCGACAGCTCGCCATGCGACTTGAAACATGCCCGGAAAGCTTTTTGACAAGCCTGCGACTCTAAACCCTACACCCAATGGCTGAACTGAAGGCCCTTTCGCACTTAGCCAGCACAGCAGCTCGGGTGAAGATGGTCTCCGGTGAGGTGATGTTGGTGGTTTGACGCAGCCTTTGCTTACTTTGTCCTACGCAAGCTCGACAAACTCAGTCTGGAAACTTGATGCTTTCAGAGACAGGATGATGACTTAACTGCTGTTAGTGGCAATTGTTCAGAATCAACAACAACTCCTTTGCAGGAAAGCCGCTGATCGTAGAGGCCGCCCTTGGACCGGAAGTCGGGCAGGTTTGCTGACACAGAGATTCCAGCACCGGCCATAACAATCACGTTGGAAAATTTGCCGGCCTGCACAGGGTTCTCTGGAGAGCTGCTTCTCCACTGTTCTAACGATATAGGTCAATAATCCTAGATCATGCAGCATCTTCCATTTTCTCCCCTTGCCCTATATCTCAAAATCGCTCATAAAGTATAATTAAGTCTCTTTAAAGCTCATTTTTTATTTCATCTCCATTTGATGCTCCATTCTGGTAATATCCACTGGCATGACCTGCATGTATATATTTCTGCGTGTATGTACATACACACCATATACATATATATACATATATATGTACATGTATATGTATTTGTATATGTATATGTATAAGGTTGTCGGTCAGCCTTAGCAAAACCTATGACCGTATAGCAAACAGCCAAACAGCTATAGAGGGAGAGAATCAATAATTTGTCAGTCAGCCTCCTACTTTCTGTTCAACTGAGCACTTGTTCTGGCAATGCGAAGGTGGTACTTGGCAAAATCTTTTCGCATGGGGAAGTCTTCGTTCGGACCTTCAACAGGAAAGCACTTGTCCACGGCTGTGTGAGCCCGAGGCTAGACTTCTTCCCAACCTCAAGACATAGCTGCCAAAGGTGCTCCCTCAAAGCCAAAGTTGCCAATACAAGTCAGTGCACTACCTCGATTTCTTGACAAGAACCTCAGAAGAATGCCTAGGTTTACATCAAATCCAAGACGGTGAAAAGCCAACAAGACGAATAAGGTACTAGGGATAGTGAAAAACAAAACGGAAACTACTATCTAGTGCCACAGCTTAGGGTTAAGGGTCCATCTGCAGGTGCAGTGGCTGCGGGTTTCTCCGACCAGTACGGCTGATGCTTGCTAGTAGGGGAACGGCGGGATGGATCCCTATGGTAGCCCCTACATAAATACCCAATCATATAAACGTTTTCATGTTCTTTTCCCTTCCTTCATTCCCCGCTACGCAACAGCTAGTAACTCTATGTATCTTTATAAGCTGAGAATTGCTTGCCATCCGGTTCTCCATTCCCTACTGCCACGGCCCCCCACTAGTCCCTAATAGCAAGGGCTTAGGGTTTCGGGCGCCCTAATCCTAAAAAAGGGGTTTGGGCTGATGAGCAAAGATCCTCGGACCGGCCTGAAGCTCTGTAATCAATTGTCGAATTCCCTCATCTCCTCTCAGGACTTGTCAGAGCAAAGGAGTTCTCCGGATTGTCGGAGCTAGGGGTTTTGAGATCAAAGCTCAGAGATCCTTGTGATAGAACCTCCATTCGGGCCCTAACTCCACAAAGCAGCAAGACCTAAAGATCACACGAACACATGCGAACACATCACACATCACCTCCTCACTCCATATGAGCTGTAGTCTAAGCTCCTAGTATCCCCCTTAATAACCCCTATAGTAGTCCCCTATATAATCCCCTATATAACCCCCCTTTAAGGAGTTTGGAGTATAGCTCATATTGTTGGTTCCGCACTCACATTCCGTCTCCTGCGTCGGGGAGGCTGGACTCTTCTGGCACCGCAATCAGCGCAACGTCGGGCGCTGGTTGTGCAACGTTCTCCTCACGTCATGTGGGTGGTTGTCAAAATTATGGTCCCTTTTTGGGTACCCTAAATATTAGGTGCCGTACTATAATGGGGACCCAAAAGGGGACCATAATTTTGACAATCACCCATGTGACTTCTTATGCCCTTGCGCTTGCTCCAGCTCTGAGGGATGAGAATGGCTGCTTGATGTTAAAGAAGAAAACCAACAACCTAAGCAATTCTTTTTCTGAGCCGATGCTCGTGCTTGCCATAGCACTAATGTGTTTCGACCTACTGCGGCCTTAGGCAAGTTGAACAGTCTGTAGAATGTGGAAGTCCTTAGGATCGGAACTAGACGTGGTTGCATCGTTTGCATCAAGCCCCAGAAGCAGCTGTAGTAGCATGTCAACAGCAACCTGAAGAGGGGGTTTCCCCAAACTAGGGGTACCTTTTTAGGCGTCCACATAGTAAGGATTATCACATATGAAGGATTATTGTATATTGGGGTCTATATTGGGGTCCCCCTATTTTGGGACACTACCAAAAGTTGCTAGGTTGAAACATCAGTCACGCGAGGGACCAATGGGCCCCGCACGAAAACACATGCAAAACGTGATGCTCTGGTGCCCTCTTCCTCTACCTTTCCAAGATCCCGGGTAGAAATCATGATTTCAGCCGTTCTTAGGGTTGTGAAAAAAGCAGCTAGCGAAAACTATGTTCAAGCGTCAGGGGCCAGAAGTGTATCGAACTCCCTTGAAAATTGACCCACTGAAGATGCTCCAAACCTCGGGCCAGACCGAGAAGCGTGCCACTTGGTGATCTCCAAAAACATAGAGAGTTTTGAAGGGGCACCTATAGTAAGGATCATAATATAGAGGGGTCCATGTTGGGGCCCCCTATTCAAGTAACCTACCATATGGGAGAAGCGGATCCAGGTTTTGAGACTGCCCGAAGTTGCTTATTGACAAAGCTGTGTCCTCGGGCAGGTTCTCTGTCACATTCTCGATCTCCTCCTGTGCTGTGCGAAGCTGAGGTGGAGAATGGCTGCCCGCGAAGAGGGTCCAGTATGCCCTGTATTCAAAGGGGACTATGGACTATAATCACTGGATAATGCTGATGATGCTGCTAGTAAAAACACTAGAACTCCTACTACTAGCAAGTATGATCATACTAGCAAAAATAGCGAGAATAATGATGACATCTAGCCCGAAGAAGATCAAAGGCGGCCTGGATCTGGTCGTAGGCCGCATCGATCCAATCTAAGTTGCTTTGGGCTGATCCGCCAAGGGGGCATGTTTGTGGTTTGTGCCTTCCTCCACCCCCCAAAATATTCAGAAAAACAACACTTTTGACAATGTTTGGGGTTTTCCGTCATTTTCCTACCACTTTGGGGGTCCAGGCATGCTCCCTCAGGAATGATGTGCGGGGGTTTGTACACTTGGAGCCTGTTTGGTAGAAGCCGACAATCCCAGTTGGCAGTGAAAGGCTGAGGAGACTTTGATAGCAAGGTCATTGAGAATCTACTATCACATTCTAGAATGCCTCTCTACATTTACATACTATTGCTCACCCTCATAATTGCATTCTGTTGCATTTGATAAAACAAACCAGGGCGCATCTTCCGAGCCCACTGACTCATATGTGTCCCATGACACAACGGCTTAGCACCAAAACAGATGTGCAGTGTTGTAGTGCCAGTGCTCCAGCATCAGCAGCCCCATACACCCCATCCCCGCAGCCACTAGGAGTTAATCTTTCCTTGAAACCCCAATCCTGAACTTTGAAATTGAAATGCATCCTTCCTTTCCCCAAACTGTCCATTTAAGTCCATGTGCAATTTAAACCCATGGAGTAAAGGCCAAGTAGCGGGTCAGTGCCTCAAACCAAGCGATTGCCTGCAAAGACTAGCACTAGGGAAATTACTGGTGTGGAGCTGGGCAGCGCGACTTCCATGATCGTGAACATTCTTACTTCTGACTGCTGCTAGGGTAGCAAGGAGTTCGTGCAGCTTGGTAGAAAGCTGGTATCGGTACAGTTCCCCAACCTTCAATTGCAATTCAGGGCTTCTGGTCAATGCCCAAAAAGAGTTTCGAGCCTGAATTGTGATAACTTTGGGAAGAGAGATCGAACTCGGCTTTTGAACTATTACCGTTTTGGATCAAAGCTTCGTGCAACACAAATGTAAGCCTGGTTTTATCCCTAGTCTCAACACATGGAAGCTTTGAGCTCTTGAGATCCTCTCCATGACTCCCCTTCTTGGGAGCTCGAAGCTTTGAACCAAATTGCCATGCATGGAGAAAACACTGGCCTAAAGCTTCCCCAAGCCTCCCCAGCTCTCAAGAGGCTCTCCGCCTTCAATGCCAATCTCTATCGGAAAAGGCCATTTCCAATGCCGCTCAAAGTAGTTGTGAGTTGGGAAGTCCTGGCAACGCCAAAGCCTCAAACTCCAAACCTTTTCAACGCTGGACTTGCCGGGCTTGGTCTCTAAATCTTAAACCCCAAACCCTGAGCCGCAAACCTTAAACCCAAGGGCTGCAGCCGGCCTTGTGAGAGGGGATGGTATAGCTTGGCTCCTTGCTCTCTTTCTCGAAGAGCTCATGCATCTCCCGTAATGTGTCTACCACCTTTGCCCACTCAGTTAAGGTTTAGGGACAGGCAGGCTTTGAGTGTCAGGATTACGTATAGGGTTTGAAATTACGGGATGAAGGGTTTTGGGGTGTCTCTTTATAGTGTCCATGCGACGGCAAGTAGGCACTAGGCACCTGTCTTGAGACATTTGGAAGAAGCTATGCTAGCAACTTTGGATATGGAGTCTGCTGCCTTGCTTGGAGGTTCATTGTATAAAAAACACCCACTTCCAAGTACTATAATGGGGTTGGATAGAGGGATAGTGGAAAAGAAAATGGATACTACTATAATGGGGTTATATAGGGATACCCTAGGAGGGGCACTCACTTCCAACAAAAGCAATTCCTCCAAGGGATTCCCACAGCTGGAAATCTCACAAGAAACCACACGGCAAAGGATAACCAACCCATGCCTGCGCTGTCTCATTGTGTTGCAACCCTAGCAGGAATTCTTGCTAGAAAGCGCGCCACAAACCCCAAACCCTAAATCCTAGAATTTAGGCCCTAAATTCTAAACCCCAGGGAGGCCCTGCCAACAAACTTTTTGTTCCCTCCTACCCAGACCTGGGGAGGATCTAGAAGTAGACCTCCCAATCCTGTACCCTATACAACTATTCTGTGATTTCTGGGAACCTCAGAGGGGATCTACCCTCTAGATCCACCCAGAGGTATGAATGGTGACCGATAAATGGACTTCAGACTATCGGCCCATGAGCCTGTCGGCGCTGGATAAGCCAAGCTTGTGTCTTCACACTCTGCCGACGTTCGGACTTGACTTTTTGGCGAACTTTCCCGCAAATGCCTGGTTACAAGAGAGCTTCCAAAGCATAACATTTACCTGACATTGTTTGACAGAGAACTATATA